TGTTTTTATTAAAAAACTGCATTAGGTCAAATTGTTTTTAATAAGTTACCACAACCTCAATTGAGCCTTAGATTGTACCACCCCTCAATGTATAACGAAGACGAGGAAAGCTGGTAAGTTGTGAATAGAGGTGTCAAAATGGGTGACTTGGACGGTTTTGGGTTGGGTAAAATGGATAATGAGTATAAGTGAGTCAATTCATTTATACCCATTTAATTAGATGGGTGTAAATGGATAAGTCAAAAAATGAATTGGGTAACCCAATTACCCATTTATAACTCATTTATTTTAAATTTTTGTAAACTCATTTAAATTCATTTTTGCAAACTAAGTTATCAATTTATACCGCTTTTTGCACCCATCATTAGTTTTAAATATTTACGTATAATGCTCAATAAGTCCAATTACCAATTTTTTTCCCATCTATACTCTATGTCGCAAAATTACATATTATTTAATAATTGAATAATAAGAATATAAAAATTTGAACTAAGTACTATAAAAGTTAATATAAAAATTTAATCCAAAAATTTTGAACCCCTAACATTTTTTTCATATATAAATTTAAAATTTCATTTTAGAAAGATAAGAAAAGAGGCTAAAACTTATCATAAATTGGTAATGCTGAAAAATGAGCAAGTTAACAAACTAAGAGAAAATAAAATGATAAGATAAAACCAACAAATAATAATAATAATAAAACAAAAGTAGTTAACATCATGACAAAATGAAAAATTAAAAAAAAAATAGGTGGGGGAAGAGAGGAGACTTGGGGAAAGAAAATTCTAAATGAGTTAATTGGGTTTGATGGGTTATCCAATAATACCCATTTAATGGGTAACTCATTTATACCCATAAACAAAATTTAAGATACACATACCCATCTATTCATGGACGGGTATGGGTAAATTTAGTTAAATGAGTTGGTTTACCACCTATAGTTGTGAAAGTATTCTTTTTGACAACCAAACAAAGAAAAAAAAAGAAGTGAACTTACTATTCCTGGATAGTTCTTTCTTGGGCCCCATTGCAATAAGGAATTAAACTCACATTAAAAAAATGGGGAAAACATAAGATCTTGCTTATAAAATGCACTGTCTTATTGTTGCCAAGCTAAAGGATAATTGATATACTTTTGTGTATTAAAACTTATTTAATTTACTTATAGCCCTAGTGCTCTACCATGTTTTTCCATAAAATAAGTATAGATAGTTCGAAGTCCAATTTTGGATACGATCTAACATGCAGATACATTGAATATGCCAACCAAATCATAAAAACTAAAAAATGAAGATGTTGTGAGAAAATAAAAACAAAGACTTTTGGATATATAAGAATGTAAAAGGGAAGAGAGATGGATTGGGTGGTACAAGAAGAAGGAGTGTGAGCGAGCGGTTTCAAATTCGAAACCTCCCACTAAAAAAGAAAGGAACGTAGAAGAAAATTGAAAAGAAATCGTATATTATATACACTTTCTTTACTTCAGATTATATTTGTCTATTGCTTAGTGTAATAGAAGGAGTAATACCCTTGAGGTTAAAACGTAGCAACAATATTTAAGAGAACTTGTACTTGTTTCTTAAGGTTTAGAACAAAAAATAAGTTCACTTTCTACAAAATAAACTAAATATGAGATAATAGTTTTCTGCAACAGAACAAGACCCATTTGGTCTTTATATAGAGTTTAGGAACTTGTTATTGAAGAGTTGCAACATATCTTGGTGGTTGCAACTTGAATTCTTGAGTCTCTTCATTAAAATCCATTGGTTTTCTCGTTTTTAGTGATATTTCATATTGTTCAAACTCAAGAATTCTGCAAAAATCGCAACTTTTCAATGATGCAGACGTTCACTACCTCATTCGCATGAACAAAACATTGGCCATGTGGGCTCGCCAAGCAGAGGTCTTCATGAAGCTTGCATGCATCCGATTAAAAAATCATTGAAAATACTAAAGCCCCCCGCAATTTTCAAAAATTTTGAAAATTTTAAGCTCATAGCTTATTTCAAAAATTATATACATAAATAATGATGTCTTTCGATTATATTACCTTCGCTAAAGCTCTTTGTGATAAGTCCATAAGAAATGGTAGACAAACTTCGACCTACTCAAACATATGACAAGCTACATGAATACATCACATATAGATTTTATGCACCATTGCATGTTTCATAAACGATACATTTTAACGCTTTGTATCGTTATCCTCTTCATGAATGTCTCAAAGGTAAACGCTTAAGTTTGTGAATTGCCTAAGTTCTACATTCGTATAGGTGAATTCTTTAGTGCTCCGGCCATTTCATGCATTTAATAAAATACTCAAGAGTTCTAAACTCAGCAATCCCTTATTCTAGTGGATCAACTTTGCACTATCTTTCCAAGGGATGATCTTTGACATAGTGTTACAATCACTAGAATGTATTTTGACCAATTGAATTCAGGATTAGATGTTGTACCTAGTATTGAATTGACGTTCCATTATGAGTGATTAATATTTTTGGACTTTAATCATACTCCTCTTAATGCCTTATACACCAAGGTTTTTTATTATGTTTTTGTCAAAGGATCACTGAAAATTTGACTAGATTTTATGAAGATTACAATGATGACTCCAATTGTAATTAAGTCCATTGATGTAAAATTTTATTCAAACTCAAACTTCTCTTTCTATAAGTGTATAGTCACAGATAAGTACAAGGAGAAATTAAGTGTTGATCTCATGAGAAAAATTAATCAACTTATCAACATTTAAAGTGTGAGTAAATACAACTACACTACAAAAGACAAAGAAAATGGCAAACTAAAGTTCCTAGGGTTTTGGTTATCGTCCTTACCTCTGCTAGTGAAATGACCCAAATGATTGAGTTTTATCTCTTAGGTTAAGCAATGATGCAATTTTCTAACATATAGGATATCAGCTTTCGTCAACATATCTATCATACTTATAACTAATTCACACTTATTTTCATGGTATAAATCCAGCTACAAGTTCATTAGGATTTATGAAATTATTTAGTAAAAACCACAAAGGCGTATCTCAATTCAACTTCACCTATTTCTACAAGAGGAGCGGTGGCTGAATGTTCCATGTAAATTATAGTTCCAACTTCAACTGATTTCATAGATTTGAAGAATTTCTTGTTTTTGCATACATTTTTTTTTGTAACCCTAGAATCAACCCACCGAGATCATTGCAATATTTTTTTCGCTTGCACTATTGAAAGTCTCTTGCTTGTCATTCTTATGATTGTTAAGAGGTCTAAATTCGGACTTCTAATGTCCAAGTTTGTTTCAACAGAAGCAGAAGCACTTGCATTTTTTCTTCCTTTTCTTGTTCTTTCGATTATTCCTAGACCGATTATCTTTTTGCTTTATGACTTCATTGAATGTCCCTCTTCAATCACGTGTACTTTGGTAGACAAATCTTTGTTATCTTTTTGTGTTTGAGAATCCTTCTTCTCTTACATGCTAAATTCCTTCTTAACTCTAAAGGACTTGGCAAGACTTTCAAGAGAGATTTCTTATTTATTATGCTTCAAAATTCTCTTGAAATCTTTCCATGTTGGACACAGTTTGTCTATTATGGAGCTTACAAAAATGGTTTCATCCATATGCATATTATGTTGAGTGAAATAGTTCAAAAGTTATCTCAAATTTTTGAAAATTGTTTCATAATAGGCCTTGTATCTAATATTTTATAATTATTGAAAAAAGAAATAAGGAGCTTCTTACTTATAGCATCTTCTAGCATGTATTTCAATTCGAATCTCTCATAAAGTTCCTTTGCAGTTCTTTTTTTTTTTTTTTTGTCAAAAAAGTTCCTTTATAGTTGGTATGGTGTGGTAGACATCTAAGTCTATCATTTATTGCATTAAGGATACGGCTTCTAAAAATTTCATCATTATTGTCCCATTTTTGCTTCTTTGTGATTTCTTCAAGAGTTTTTTCATCTCCTTGTATGTTGGATTTTGATGTTTTCAAGACACATGCAACATTCAACGTGACAAGGAGGAAGTGTACCCTCATTTGCAAACATATGAAGTTTCCTTCATCAAAACTTTCCCATTTCGCATTGTTGGTTATCAACTCTCCTTCAGAGAACTTGCCATATTCAAGTTATTCAAATATAGCCTTAAAATGGTAGAAAATAGAAACAAAGGGAAACCTTTTTTTTTCTTCCTATCCTTCCACCCCTCTTCCCATCCCTCCCACCTCCAACTGTCAGGTACGTGATAATAAAGGAAAACTTGTAAATATGTAAGAAAGTAAAAGAAAATTCCAACCAAGTCATGTATTATATATACCTTCCTTAAGGCTATATTTGCCGCTTATTTAATGCAATAGAGGGACAAACACTCTTGAGGATAAAATGGAGAAATGTCTAAGAGAACACCCACTTGTTTCTAAAGCATTAGCACAAACAACCAATGCACTTTTACAAAATAAACTAACCTAAGTATTTTGTAGCAAATCAAGACCCATTTGGTCTTGACATACAGTTTGGGAGATTATTATTATTACGTTGCAACACATTTAGGTAGTTATCAACCTGAATTCCTGAGTCACTTCATGAAAATCGATTACTTTTCTTCCTAGTATAGTGATGTTCGATTTCGTTCAAATTCAGAATTTTGCAAAAGTTACAACTTTTCAATGATGCGGATGTGGGCTGCCTCGTCCGCATGAACAAGAATTACAATAAGCACGCGAACGTGTGTCATAAAGGCTTCCGCGTAAAGCTTGCATAAGTCCACATCAAAAATCAATTACAATACTAACAGATGTCTGGATTTTAAATGTATCTCTACCCTATACTTTTTGTCTGTTACACTGATGAGAGTTTGGAGTTCGAAGCCAAATGCAAATTATCTGTTGAGAACATAAATACAAATGCAAGTTGTCTAAACCTCTTCTCCACACGAGGATAAGTAGCATACTTAGGCTGAATTAATTGAATGTTAATGCGAATTGCGAAAACGGCAGTTAGAAAGAGACGCATGTTAGCTATGAAAGAGAAATCCGTGATTAGTTCCACAATTATCATCCACTTCTTATTAGTACAGGAGGACTTATCTTGGCCGAACTTCACTGTAGAAGCCGAGAATATCCAACATGTAAAGAACAAATGAAGAACATAGATCTGTAATAGAGAGTACAGATAATGCATTAGTCAGTTCTGAATGAGGGAAATTTCTTTGCTATCGACGTCTTTTTTTCCGGACTTGGACACCAAATCATCAAGATAATGCTGATAAATGTAGGACATGAATCCCCATATGGCAAGCAACATTGCTACTGCTTTTACTCCACTCATCTTTTCCTTGAAGATGAATACGGCTAAAATTGGAACAATCGGCAACCCTAGTGTGCTGATGACATTAGCAAAGAGTGAAGAGACCTTCAAAATCAATCCCACCATTCCAATGGAGAAAATTTGCCAGCACACTGCTATCCACAACAAAGTCATTGTATAGGATGCCTTGCCTAGTTCAAATTTGTTCATCTCTGCAGAAAGGGTCCTCCATTCTCCGCTAGCGAAAAGGCCGACCAACAGGATACAACTTGCTACAAGCGATTGGTAAATCAAGAAATCCAAAAGCTCCTTAACTGTTTGCCTTTTCAGAATCTTGTTAATTGCAAGTTGTGACAGAGAGAGTATCGAAGAGAAAAGTGCTGCAGCTAATAGGGTGCATATGAATCCTATAGCATACTTTCCTTTGGAGGATTTTGAGGAGCCTGAAGAGTCATCATTTTGAAGTACAAGGAGGGCAGAGGAAGTGGTCAGAAGTACTAATGAGTTGACAATTAAAGGAGTGAACTTTTGTGAATTGAGAAAGAAGGAAAACAAAGCATTGAAGCCTAACTGAGTTGCGCTGATGAGCGAAAAAGTGGATACAGGAAGGTATAAGAGGCCTACTGAAAATAACATCCCTACGGCTGCTAGCAAAGTGCCAAGGACCATATATATTGATCCGAGGACTAGAGGAGATGGTGTCTTCGTTTGTTCACTTGAGTTGTTTTTTCTGTCTTTTGTATTATACAGGAATGGCAAGAGGATTGGAAATCCAGCACCTTGTATAAATGCCGATAACCATTTGCTATTTCCACCCTTTTCATAATACAATCTTCCCAGAAGCGTAGCAGCTGACTGGCCAAAGAGTACAAGAACGGAAAATAAGGCCATTAGAAGCCATCTCTTGTTACGGTGAAGCAGAGGAACAGATGACTGTTGGTTGCCAATGGCTTCTCCCACACTATCAGGAGATATTGATTGTTGAGCTCCCTGAACTGGTAAATTAACATACACAGATAAGGATTAGTATTCTCTACCACATTTCTCTCAATGCGGAAGAGGACATAACAAGAAAGTTCTTTAAGTTAGAAACCGAAAAAACACATGCTCACGCAAACACATGAAAATCCTTTTTTTCATACTAATGCAAAATTGTTGAATAATGGAATTTCACATATACTTTCTGCAAAAGATAATGGCAGGAATTCTATATTTTGTACTTGAAAATGATGCACACTTCAGACTAATTACATAGGCTTGACTTTTGGAGAAAACAAAAAAGCTCTTGATCGGCCTGATCGAAGCTTCTTTGTATGATTTTGTATAACTTTAAAGGTGGACTATTTGATTTTGGATACAGAAATCCTTTGATACAGTCAATAACAAGAAAAGTTCTTAAACAAAATTAAATCAAGAAGAATACAAGTCAAGATAATCGCACAAGACAGAAGACCCTTTACGTACTTGCTTATAATCTACTCGGAAAACTTACTCGTGACATGTGTCTGCTTTTCTTGAGCTGCATCCTCCATTGAAGAAGATTTTGTGTAAGGAAGAACCAAAGAAATGAGAATGCGAATCGCTTAGATAAGGTAGAGTAGCATATGAGTTCCTTCTTGTCATTGTTAACTTAGTCAATATATATACAGCTAGCTTGGTTTGGGAATGTGTATTGTCCATAACAATAGCGTTCAATAGCTTGTACATTTGCAGTCTCACAACCAGCAGTCACCATCAAAGTCTAGCAATCAACTGAAGTTCTTTTGGGCAAGGCTTTGCTCTTAAATTGGTGCGGGGTGTATTAGATGAGAATCATTATTTGGGCAAATGGGTAGATTCATTATGAGATGTGGGCTGGTTCTGTCTGCAATAAGTTGATGTATAGCCGCCATGCCACGACTACTGACTTGGCTAGTATAGAATCATTAGAGGCCATAAAACTGGTTAGAAAACAAGGTTGCTAGATTCAAAAAGAATATTTTGTAAATATGCTCTTTCACACACAGACAAAGCTATATATTTGTTAGCTATTATTTACCTATTACTCTTTTAAAAGTTTGGCGAGTCTTGTCATTATAGAGTGTAAGTACTTTCTTGTCTTAATATTTCATTCTCATGTTACGCTATAATAAATCTACTCCATGTTACTTCTAATTGCAATTTTTAATAGAACAAAACTTCAATTATCCAACTCTCCCACGTAGTTATTCTTGGGTAATGCTAAATTTGGGTGAATGTAAATTAAGCTCACTGTAGAATTTGTTCAGTCTTATCATAGATATTTGGATTAAAGTTGACAATATTTACCTTAATCCTCATGTTAGAATCTAAAATACCAAACAGTAATCAAAATTATAAAAAAAAAAAAAGCAAAAGAGGAAAAGCTATCACTACCAACCAAATTTTAATAAACCACACCGAAAAACAAGGCAAAAACAATTAAATGTTTCAAATAAATTACACCCTTCATTAACTAAAATGACATGTTATGATTTACTCAATCCATGTTTTGGCTTACTCTGCCGGCCAAATAAACAAAAGGGATAATTGCAGAAACCTCCCCTGAGCTTTTCGACAATTTCACTCAACTCTCTTGAGGTTTACATAATTACGGAGACCTCCCTTGATGTGATAAAAAGACAACAATACCCTTCATTAATTGTTAACTTATTGAAAAACTCTATCAAATATTAAAGTTCTCTCATCTATTGTCAACCAATAACTGAAACTACAATATTTCTCATTTAACTCTCTATTCTCTTCGTTCTATTTCCGTTTTCCTTCCAAACTCATTTATTTATTCTTATCAATCAAATGTGTACTATTGCCACTAATAAAATCACCAAACCACTAATGCTTACCTGTCATGGTGACTATTCCCAATTTTCTCTTTTTCATTATTATTAAAAAGTTTCCTTGCGCCCATTTTTGTTTTCTATTTTGGATAGGCATTAGCAAATTGAAATTGTCAAATGACAAATTGAATGATAATTTCATTATCAAACTAGATGGAGATGAAGATAGTGGCAGTGATAAAAAATAAAAAATTAAAGATAGGAAGTGGAATAGGGACTAATATAGGTTATACTGTTATGGTTGTTATGCAAAAAAGTGTTCCCGAAATATTTATAACTGCATTGTGTTTCTATTTTTGATTTACAATTATTGATGTTATTCCTACAGAGAGAATTTGATTGATTTTGAATTATGTGCTAATGGAGTATATTGGATATTAATAATAGCAGTGATGGCTTAAATTATCTTATATTAAAAAAGTAGTAGCCATGGAATTGAAATTAAGGATATCGATGAATATTGTTATGTATTATGTAAAATCTAGCTAATATTGATATGAGATTGTAGGTAAACTTTTGGATATCTGATGCCGCGTTTATACTCTATTCATGTTTTGGTTTACTCTGCCGGCCAAATAAAAAAACTATCAGTAATTGATGTGCCGCCCGTTTCTAAGTTTATGTTAAGCATAGGAATAACTCTCTTAGGGTACTGAAAGTAAAATTTATGAAATGAATGGAAGATTTAAAGTAAACATCACGACAGCTCAATTAACTACAAACGGAACAATTGGGTTTTAATTTGCTCTATCAGCGCAGTCTTTTGTAACACCTTAACTTGAGTCGAGCCCATTTTGACTACATTTTTAAAGAAATTTAGGTAGTTTTTGTTACAAGAAAAACTTTAATATTTTTTTGAAATGTGATGTATATGTAAACAAACATTGTTAAAAAGATGTGTTTGAATAAGGCATTTTCCCCAAAAAATCCAAAATAAATTTCCCCAAGAATTGCAATGCAATCAGGCCCTATCCATGAAAAGTCAATAGTCTTGCGTGATGGCATTTCATTATGAGAGAATTGCAGTTTTGATCCCAAATATTTGAGGCAAGAGCGTTCCAACCGCATAAAGTTTGGATGAAAGCAAATGTAATCACAAATGTTTCAATTTCTAAACACATTTAGTCCCACTGATTGATTTTTGTCAATTGCTACTAGATCCGCTTCACGTACTGTTACTAGCATTTATTTTTTTAAAACTATTTTTAGCCATAATTTATAGTAAATTAGGACTCACATGCTGATCATGTGGATAATTAGTCTGGAGTCTAGAAATTCAAAAAATATTATTGATTGACCAGAAATATTAGATTAAAGACTAATTACTAACGTGATCAGTAAATGACTAATTAGTTATCTTTCATCACAGATTATGGCTTTTATCAATTTTTTAAAATTTTTAAATACTTGGTTGTTGGCACCTAACCTAATTATAGTTGGAATTAAAAAAATTAGTCATTAGAATTAAATGTGCATAGAAACTTAAATATTTGGGTGATCTTTCACATAAACGTTCGGTTAAATTCAATTGGCATAAATTTGACAGTTTTACAGTTTTAAAGATGTTGAACTGTAAAATTTTTGAAAGGATTATCTTTCATTCATACTACTATGAGTTTATATACAAGTTTCTCTGTAGACATTACAAAGGATAAATCCTTATCTTCAAATCAAAATACAACATAAAATCCTATCAAACTACAGTTCAAATTACAAGATAAAATCCTAACAATTTATAAACCAAACAACTTACATATAACAACATATCAGTAGCGTATCACATAAGATGTGCTTATTAAACTCAAATTTAAAACTCTAACTCCCTAATCTCTAATACTTCCACTCAAGCTGGAGATGTAAGTCTGTAATTCCCAGCTTGGATAGCGAAAACTGAAATTGATCACGATCCAGTGGTTTGGCAAAGATATCAGCAAGTTGATGTCAAGATGCATAATGAGCAGTAGATATTAAGCCAGGCTGAATTTTTTTCAGATGACAATCTAACTCAATATGGTTTATATGCTCATGAAATATAGGATTTGTTACAAGATGAAGAGCAGTCTGATTATCACAAGGTAATTGTAAAGGTTTGGAATGAGGAATGCAAAGGTCTATCAAAAGATACTTTATCCATGAAATTTCACGACAAGTTGTTGCCATAAAACGATACTCAGCCTCAGTTGAGGAATATGCAATAGTATCTTGCTTCTTTGTACGCCAAGATACCTGACTATTGCCAAGAAAGGTAATATATCCAGTTATAGAATTCCAAGACATTGGATAACTGGCTCAATCAGAATCTGAAAAGTTGAGAGCTGTAAATCACTAATTGAAGACAACAAAATTCCATGACTTGGTGTACCTTTCAAATAACGAAGCACTCTTTGAGCAGCATCTAAATGTTGCTTACCAGGTTTGTGCATGAATTGACTCAACAAATGAACTGAGTATGTGATATCAGGTCCGTGATAGTTAAATAAATTAACTTTTCCACCAGATGCCTATAAGGTCCTGGGTAAAAAAGATCATCATCAGTGGTGGTTTCTACTCTATTGGAAATAAAACTAGTTTAGAACCTAGAAAACCATTGTCCCTCAGAATGTCCAATGTATATCTTCAGGGATTGAGAAAAATTCCTTTAAAAGAACGTGCAACCTCAATTCCAAAAAAATTTTAGAGAACCCAAGTCCTTAATATGAAATAGGTCTTCAGCTGCTCAACAGAGTTTTTGTCATTACCAGTAATAATAACATCATCCACATAAACTAAAATAGCAAGAAAGATTGACCTATTTATTCGTTATTGTAAATAACGAATAATCAGCAATTGACTGCTTGAAACCGGTGACTTTTAAAGTTGTAGAAAAATTTTCAAACCATTGATGAGATGCCTGTCTGAGACCACACAAAGACTTGTGAAGTCGACAAATCAAATTCTTTATTGGTATATGATAACTAGGAGGAGGTGTCATATAAGCTTCTTCGTTCAAATCTCTGTGACGAAAAGCATTATTAATATCTAGCTGATACAATGGCCAATTCTTAATAGATACAACAGCCAATAAGCATTGAACTGTAACAAGTTGTGCCACAGGGGCACAGTTTCATGAAAATCAAGATATTCAATTTGAGAAAAACCTTTAGCTATAAGGCGTACATTGTACCTCTCAATAGAGCCATCAGCATGATACTCTACCATGTATATCCATCTGCAACCAATGGAGCCTAGGTAAAGGTTCTAAAGTCCATGTCTGATTTTCCTCAAGTGCTTCAATTCTGTAGCCCTAGCATCACGTCATTGAGAATATTGAACTGTTTTTTTTTTGTAAGTTTTACGTTCATTATAAGTAGCAATAGTGGACTGAAATGATCTAAAGAATAAGAAGTACTAAGCAAATAATTGGCAATAGGATAAAGAATACCTTGGGTGGATGACCTTGAAGATTGCTGATTGGAAGTAGTAGAAACGAGAAAGGACTACTTTGAAGAAGAGTCAGAGTTAAGGTCGCTACAGGATTTAAGAGTCATTGTTGCTTTGATTGAGAACTTAAGTGAGTTGTATGATCAGAACACAATGAAGTTCTAGAATTAACTATAGAATCATCAAGTGCCTGCCTTTCTTAATTTATAGGAAAGATAGATGAAGGAGAATGTGCAATTGAAGAATCATTTTCAAATGGAAATTGATCTTCAGAGAAAATCACATCTCTGCTAGTAAAAATATTTCTAGAATCAAGATCATACAAGTGGTAATCACATTGCCCAAAAGGATATCCAACAAAAATGCAATGTTTTGATTTTGCATCAAAGTTAGTTTTTGGTTTAACTTTGTTATTAGCATAACATAAACAGCCAAAAACCCAAAAATGATCATATGATGGTTTGGTATG